AATAGCTTTAAAAAGGAGTAATTACGCCTAATTATCTTATATACAAATAACGCAAATATTACGTACTTAGTACTAAATCCCCTTAAATCTATAAGAATAAAAACGATTAATATATAATATAAGTAAATAATCGATCGTATAGTAAAAGGAGATTTTAATATATAATATATTCCTAATACGGAAATAGTAGTAAATAGGCTAATAAAGCCATTGCTTCCAAATAAGTATAAGCGCTTTTACATTATATTAGAACTATAAGCGAAACAGATTCCCTAGGTTAACTAATTAAAGGAGGAAAATACTATAAAAAAGATTATAATATACTAAATAGGAAAATAAATAGATAATTTGTAGCTATAATAAGGGGGTGTGTTATAGAACCCACAGACCTACATCTAGGTTTCTATTACAGCCTTTATACTGCTATTTCCCCTTATACGGATCTAGTTTCCCTCTCTTCCTTCTACTAGAAATCTACATACTTTTATTTCTCCCCATATTAAGTAAGTAGAAAAAAAAAGGGTTTGCAGGTGTAAAAAGTACAAGTTTTACAGTAAATCTAGTAGTATTTTATCCCTTATAGCTAACACTATACGCTTTATACCCTATACTAAGGCCTACACGTAACTATAGGGTAGAACAAAGCCTGATTTATCTATTTAAAATCTTTTCTTTTCGTTTAATCGTTATACCTAGCGTTGCACCTCGCGATAGCTTCAACAGTACTAGCAACTTATACGCGCTTGCGCTAGCGGCGTAATTATAGCGCTATAGCGGGGTAGTTAAGGCGCTATAAGATGGTTGGCTGGCACAGGCGAGATAACGGGGGCACGGACATTCCACGCTCGATACCAAAAGTGTCCACGCTCGCTAGCCACTGCGGCGTCTGGCATCGCATTGCAGTCACCGTAGTCTCGTATTACGTAGTGTTGTCATCTCATTTTGTACTGACACCAACAACGGACGCGGCTGGTGAGGGCTTCATCGAGATGCAATGGGGTTGCTTGTCTGTCTGGCTAGGTAAGGAAGCAGAAACTGCCTTGCCAGGTCATAATGCGCCGCGGGAACCTCGCTGGCGCTGATGCCTGGAATAGGTTTAGGGTGTGTTCTTCTCATCTGAATTTCTTGCTGAACGCGTTTGCTGAATTTCAAAATTCAGAAATTCATCAAACCCTTGCTGAACCGGTTATTCCTCGGCTGACGAGTCCGCAAACCCCACTCACAAGTGTTGCAAGTCAGCATCGCGTTCCTTTGTCTTGCAGCCCTTTATCGGGCGATACGATGCCTTCCACCAGCCAAAACACATACAAAACAGCATTGCGCAGCCCTTGCGCAGCCCTTGGGCTTCAATTTTGCAATGACCTTTGATCCTATTATCGTTATAATTATTGCAACGGCTCCGAAACGCTGGCGTTAGCGTGCTGTTGCGCAGTCCTGTAAGTGCGCTGTAAGTGCGCTGTAAGTACGCTGTATTTCTAGGGCTTTTACAGTATAATTATAGTGGATTATAGGGCAAATTCATCAAAATTTGCGAAATTCAGAAGCCAAAAGCTACGGAACTTTTCAGCAGAAAATTCATCAAGATGCACGCTATCTGATTGGTTGCATCCGAAAAGTGGATTACATGTGGGTCAGTTTTGCTGAAATTCTGGAAAAGTGGCATTTTTCAGCAAAAAAAAGTCAGATGGTCGTGGAACGGTTTTCTGAATTCAATTCAGCAAACGCGTTCAGCAAGAAATTCAGATGAGAAGAACACACCCTTACGGGGTTGAGTGTTCACTCGACTTGAGGAACATACACACCACATCCGCAATCGAGGGATCTGGAATGCGGAATCGATGATACAGAAAAAAAAGAGCGAGGAAGCACCGACGTCCATTTCACGGTATCCGAGCCGCACGCAGATAATAGGGTATCTGTGAATTATTTTAATCGCTGCCGTAGGTTTGCTCTACAGAGTACCTCTGCTCCGGATTCGCCAAGCAACAGGTTGTCGCCTTTAGAACCAGCCAAGACCTTCTTCCTGCAAGCCCGATACGCCATAAAATACGGGTATCCATGTCTTGTACTCAAAGATACATATATCACTCAGCCATATCCAGATGGCCACTGCTTCCAATTGCTTCCCCAGTTGTCTTTATCCTGACCTGACAGTGCAACTACCCGGACATCTCAACATCCGGGTCAACCTCGGTCCCCAGATCCCTATCCTCCAGAAACCGTCTCCCCAGCAGAGCCTCGGGCAGATAATCCTGCTTGACCTTGCCATTGCGATAGTTGGGCGGATACTTGTACTCCTGGCCGTATCCCATCTCCCGCATCAGCCGCGTCGGCGCATTCCTTAGGTGTATCGGGACCGGTAGACTTGCAACGCCCGGCTCCTGGAGTGCCGAGTAGGCGTTATTCAGACCGCGGTAAGCACGCGTGCTCTTGGGTGCGAGACACAGCGCGACGGCGCAGTGGGCCAGCGGTATGCGCGCCTCGGGCATGCCGATCTGCTGCGTAGCCGTGTAGGCAGCAGTCGCAAGCGGGAGGAGTGTGTTGTCCGCCAGACCAACGTCCTCTGATGCTATCACGACCATTCGTCGGGCAATGAATAGCGGATCCTCCCCAGATTGGAGCATGCGAGCCAGATAGTAAAGGGCCGCGTCGGGGTCGGACCCTCGGACGGACTTGTGAAAGGCGGATATGGTGTCGTAATGCTGATCGCCAGCCCGATCGTAGACAAGCGTCTTGGTTAAAGCGGCTTTGATGCCTTCTTTGGTGAGAGGTTGTGAAGGCTCCGTGTCGGAGGGCGAATCGGGCTTGTTGGTATTCCTCGTCAGGGAGAGGGCGAGTTCAAGAAGGTTGAGTGCGGTGCGGGCGTCTCCATCCGCAAACGCAGATAGGTATTGGAGGAGCTCTTCGTCGATAAGAGGGCTGAGCTCAAGACCCTCTTCGTCTATCTCTTGTTGCAACGCCCGGGTGAGAATCCGCTGGATGTCTTCCCCGGTGAGAGACTGCAACGTAAAGGTCCGGCACCGACTCAGCAGAGCGGCCTGGATCTTGAAGCTGGGATTCTCAGTGGTGGCGCCAATAAGTGTGATGGTTCCGGCTTCGACGGGTTTCAAAAAGACGTCCTGCTGCGACTTTGAGAAGCGGTGGATCTCGTCGCAAAAGATGATGGTCTTACGCCCCGTCAGCGTGAGCTCGTTTGCCGCCTCGACGAACAGCTTCTTGCACTCGGCCACGCCCGTGCTCGTCGCGTTGAGCTCGATGAACCGACTTCCAACCCGACGGGCAATACACCGAGCTATTGTAGTCTTCCCCGTTCCGGATCCGCCCCATAATATCATCGACGGCACCCGGTCTGACTCGATCAAAGACCTGAGCACACCGTTTGGCCCCACGAGATCCTGCCCAAACACTTCGTCGAGGGAGTGTGGTCGCATGCGTTCGGCTAGCGGCGCCGCTCGACTGGTCTTCGATCGTTTAACCAGCGGACCGGGGATGTCTCTCGCGGTGCCGTTTGGTTGTTGCGCTTCTTGTGTCGCTCCTTCTGTGCTTCCCTCTGCTGATCCCCTCGTCGCGACTGGTGAGCTCAAATGGCCAGGTCCTTCTTCGAAGCTCCGCTTCATCCCAGCGGCAACCTTAACACCCACGCTAGCTGTCCATGTTTTTCCCTGGCCTGTGCCATTGCTCTCAACCTTGTTCGGTATCGGGGTTTTGCCGTTCACAACGCTCGGGGTGGCTTGTCGTTTGGAGGCGGGCGTCTGGAAGAAGGTTGAGGCCGACCGTTTCTTCTGCGTCGAGCTTGGGACGGAGCTAGGGTTGGTCTGGCTGGCGTCTGGCGGGGAGGAAGTGCGGCTGTCGGCGAGGAAGGACTCGCAGCCCGAGTCGATGTGTTGGTTGATCAGGTCGAGCGACTTGACACCCTTGCTGCAAAGCGGACACTCGACCATGACGGTGCGTGATACTGTAGCAGATGATGTTGAAGTGAATCGTCTAGCATCGGAACTTTGGTGCGAGCTCGAGATGGTAGCGTAGTTGAAGGATTGTTCTCGATCCGACGCGTTTCGAATGGATTTTGACGCGCTGAAGTTGGGACCCTGACAGTGGCAAAGTTTGGTGGCCAGCCAGCTGTGGACTGTGGTTGGGCGCCGAATGACGTAGGGTGGGCCCTCTGCTGGCCCTGTCGGTCGGCTTGTTCCGAACCCGAACTCAGGACCCACCAGCGGGTAAGGAAGACGGTCTTCCACGTTGTTGGGACGATACCTTCAACACTTCGACTGATCAACGCGTGGACAGTTTGTCCAAAGTATTTTCCCCACCACGTGTGGACCAACAGAGGTTAACCCCGCCGCATCATGCGCCGATTGTTGTGTCGACATTGAACGACAAGCAAGACTTGGGCTAAACTTCAGCGTTCTGAGCATTTTTCTGGCCTGCAGGAGAGCATGGAAACGGCCAAGTCAGTAACAGTCTTGCGCATGGTGATTCTGGTGCTGCAGTTTGGTTGTTGAGACTACCTGGCGGACCCTCAGAAAGACCATCCCCGTCCTAGAGTAGATACCTGATCTAATTGTCTCTTTTTGCGCACGCTTGGTGAATATTGCTACACTACCTAGCGTTTGCTGGCCTGTTACTCTCATCAACCGCGGGATAGCGGTACTTACAGCCACCTACCATTCCGCCCCTTCAAGTTAGCAAATGGTTTCCGTTCGTTTCCCCATGACTGTGCCGAGGGAATACCTACGCTTCATTGGGCTTCCGGTCTGCACACTGCCTGATCGTTGGTACCTCAGACAAGCGCACATCCATCGACCAAACTTTTTCAACAGCCGTTCAAACCTTTTCCTCATCGCGGAGCGCTCACGTGACGCCCTCAATCACAACAAACACCCCCTGGTCGGGCCAGCTGATCGCAACCCTGAGAACGACGCGAGTCATGTCTTCTCCACTCCACAAGTGCGCCTATGACCTCAAAAAAAAAACCGACATGGAATGACCGACAAAATGAAAGGTCGTACCCGGGATCGAACCGGGGTTATCAGAAACTTCTGCTTGGATCAGAATCTGATGTGATAGCCACTACACTATACAACCTTGTCACGTGTCGATGTCTTCAGGTTCTCGTATCCGCACTTATGACGCTACCATCGTCGTCCCATTTTCCGTGTTTTCCAGTGGCGGGTAAAATGGCCGCTGAAGAACCCCCGAGCTGTCTCGATCGGCTAAACCATTATGGCTCGAGATCAAAGTGAACTGCCGGAATGCGGCAGGGATATAGAGATCACCTGTATTGACCCAATAGGGCCGAAATACACATCTAGGTGCCGACAGTGGTAGGAGTTAATAAGTCGGCTTGCCCCTTTCCACATATGGAATCGCCGTGAATTTTGAACAAGCTTTACAGTTCGACAACATGAGGACATCCGGGCTGTGGTTAGCGATTCTAAGTCATGGCCTCGGACCTGCCTCTGCGCAGACGACGACGTCCAGCCCGACCTCGACAACATTGACATCAAGTCCGTCCAACCATGCCATGCATTCCGGGAGAATATCACACTGACACAGCTCCAGCCATGCTCGACCCCGCAGACCTAACCTACCCCACGACGCTCACCACAATCTACACCACAACCCACACAACCGCCTCCGTCGTGACCGTCGACACAGTAACCATCATCGACCCCTGGCCGACCTCTCCCGACCCCGAATCCGTCCCCTACACCCAGACGGAACTCCAAATCACCCAGCGCACCGTCCTTCCCACCAACCCCTCCGCCGCAGCACCCTCCCCATCCACAATCGTCAGAAACACAACCTGGACCGTCTGGACCACCTCCGAATTCGACATGAACCCCGCCCGCGCCCCGGACTGTCCCGGCCCCGACGGCTGTTCCTACCCGACCGTCAAGCCGCACTCGAGCTGCATCGAGCGCCACCTCGAGACGCGCTGCTACCGGCAGTGTCTGCTCAAGAACTGGATGTGGTGGTGTCGCCAAAACGGGCCGGGCGACGAGGCCGACCCGGGACTGGGGCCGATCGGACGGGTGTGTGCGGGGACGAATTCGACGATAGCAACCTGGGAGCCGCTGTTGGAGCCGTGCGATCATACGGATATGGCGCCTGGGTGTTCCATCTGTCCGGGGTATGAGGATGAGGTGCCTGTTTACTTTCCGGGGCGGTGATGGCTAGCGCTGTTGGCGTCGGGGAGGCAGCCGAGGTGTAGTAGCATATGCCTTCGTTGTTTTCATCACAGGGTTTCATGATTTGGGGAGAGTTTACCATATCGATAATGTGGGCGGGATCGGTTGTGGGAAAGATGCCGTGGGTGTGCTACAGAGCGCTATTGCTCACTGTGGTAGCCTCGTCGCTACGCTGAGGAGTGGAATGAAATAAAGTCATCCTTCGTCGAGCTTACCTTCTTCAGCAAATACGAAGTGAATGTCTGATCACCGACTGGCGAGGCTCTGCCCCCGGCTAACATCACGGCGTCGGAAATCTCCGAGCATGTAGGTGTCCGAGTTGGGGCGTGGCTGAAACGGATGCAGGCGTCCACTGCGCAGCCGCATGCAGGGGGTCGCTGCCTGGCAGCCGTCCTCCCATTGTGTAAAAGAACGCACTCGAGACGTGGATCTCAACTCTGCCAAGAAGTGAGCACCCAGACGACCTCTTACCATGGATCCGTTGAGCATCACGTCCGCGGTTATCGGCCTCCTCACGGCAACGGGCAAGGTTTGTTCACTGCTCGAGGGGCTTTCCTGTATCAAAGATGCCCCAGTCGCCATCGCAAATGCCTCAAGGGAGATACGCCATGCCGAAATTGTGCTTCGATCGATGCAGAAGCTGCTCGAGCGTCTCGACCTGCCGAGTTCACGTCGAGCTCTGATCCAGGTGGACGACCTCCGCGTGACTCTTGCCGAGGCGATGCTGTCGTTCTCTGCCTTTGAGATCTTGCTGAGGCGCCTTGAGAGCCGAGCGAAGATCGCAGTTGCCATCTCGTGGCCAAGATACTCGAGGCAGATGGATGATCATCTAGCGCGGATTAGCCGCTACCAGCAATCTCTGATGTTGATGATAACCATTCTACAATGGTGGGTTTTACCAGTACTAGCAGCGGTTTGCCTAACCACTAACTTCTTAGCAGTGACACCGATACTGAGGCATATAAAAGCCAAGAGAAGCTGCAAATGCTCGTGGATAGAGTTCTTGCTGAAAACAGCGAGCTCAGGCAGAAGCTGGTCGAGTCGGAAGACACGTTCGCTGCCCGCAGTATGGTGACTTGCCGCCGGGACGATGATGTCACGGCCGGGCAGCCGCCGGACGATGATGCGTCCACGATCCGGAGAGTCCGTAAAAGCATCGATACCTTTGGCGGCGGCACAATCCGATTCGCCTTCGAGAGAATCCTGGAGCAGTCGAATGTCTACCGAAGAACCGCGAACCAAATCGAATGCGACAAGTCGTTCTCCACAACAATTCCACGGTCGAATGCCCTGTCTGTCTTTTGCGGCTGCAGTTTGGCGGACATTTCGGTCATGTCGGTCATTGCAATGCCACTGACGGTCGCCGATGTTTCGAATAGCAAATATTATGTCGTCGATTCTCCGGCTACTTCATCCACGGATCCGGGTGACCCAGCCGCAGAACAACCGTATTCCCTTCAGCGGGTCGAGGCCACATACCCGGCGAGAATGTTTTCGGTAGCAAGAAATGTGATGCTACCTGAGCAGCTCGGGGTCTATCGAGCCCCGCGACGACGACGCAACCTGACCGAGGTGGCGGAGCAGACTGACCCAAAAACCTCTGGCTCTTCAGGGCTGAAACCAGCGAGTTTGAGAGTAACTGGGACAGACAGCACGGATGCGGATATACCAAAATCGAATACTGAACTCGACTCGGAAACACAGGTATCTGCATACGCCTGGTCCTGGGTCGGATGTGACGAGTGTAGATACTGCCAGGCCTGTGACAAGGAAATCGTCCACACAGCCACGCCCAAAGTTCCGGCGCTGTACACTAAGGACGTTCCACGTTGTCCTCGTTGCAGACGACCTTTGTGCATGCCCCAGTCGGAGTATACAAAGGGCGTATATTGCGAAACGTGTTCCGAAAACGGGGGACGACGACGCCTGGGGTGGAGCGAGAGGAGTCGGAGGCCGAAAAAGAAGTCGAAAAAGCAGGCCAAAAGGACTAAATGGGATGAAAGCAACCTCAGTGTGTGGGACAGGATCTGAAATACCTACCGGTGAGGCGGCGGCATACTCAAACACTCCCTAGTACCTCAGAGGATTCCTCGAATAGATTCCCGAGATGGAGAAAGAATTAGGGGGCTCGAGGAATTGGAGTCACACTTTGGGGAGAAGTTTGGCGATGTGATCAAGGGTGTGTGTAATGGTGGATTGGGCCGGACGTTGAAGCTGCATGGTGGAATAAGAACCGTGGGGATCTTGAAATGGTGGCTTTTCACGGGGTTATTGTTGGCAAGGAAATCAAACGGGTCCTGAATTGGGGCTAAGCCTGTAAAGGTTGGGGGTTGCAACGTAGGTACCTAAGCTTTGTCACTGAGACTTGAATTCAACCGTACCGTATGCACACTGACATGAGAGGATGCCGACCTATGCACTGTTCGACGTACCTGCAGATATGCATTTCCATACCTGTCAAGTGCTTACATCTGCCATTCTACGTTTAGCCTACTATGGCGAGCAAGCAGCACAATACCAAGCCTGTATCACTCGGTACCTAGAGTAGGTTTATTAGCGCCACATTCTCTAAACATCGCTCATATTTGTTGACGTCACATATATTCCCGAGTCAGCTCACCCTTAAAGCGACGGCTGTTCATGTAATGGATGAACCCATGTAATATTTTCCCTTGCCGTGATGCTGTTTGCTCTAGCCTGCCCGCCCGCTGTAGGTGTATATATCTTTTACAAAGAGTGAACCCCACAAAATGTCCTTTCCCGCGCCTCTGTATGCAACACATGTCCCACCAAGTTATACGCCGAAATGATGAGAGCCCAGAAATACCGAAGCCGACACCCATGTTACCCAAACCTGACCCAAAATCCAAAACAAAAAAGATCATGTGCATGCAATAGTGGTACAGCCCCTGACGCCCTCGCCCCACCCGCCAGCATACCGCTGTTCCCTCTCCCTCGTATCGCCAGGCCGCAATATCATGGCGGGTATATCTAGATAGGCTTCGTCCCCTTCTAGTTGTACACGGAATCGCCCGATCTCGCGGAATCCGAGCTGGCGGTACAACTCAAAGCCCATGGGACTCGCAAAGACGGTCGTGTTCAATCCGAGCCGGCGGGCCTCTTCGATGCCCCAGATGGTCAGGGCACGGCCGGCGCCTCGGCGCTGGTAGTCTGGGTGGCAGAGGAGGATCTTGAGGAACATGTGGCCGCGGCGGTAGCGTGTGTCGAACAACTCGTGCTTCTTGGCTGAGCACTGGGCGCGGAAGGCGTTCATGCGGTCGCGGTGGCCGATGGTGATCGGGAGGACAGGCGAGTTAGAGAGACGGGACATCGGTTCTGCACAAGCGATGTCATGTCAGCATGCGGATGGGATGAAGGATGGCAGGGGGTGGGGTGCGGTTTACGGGGATATGCTGGAGACGACGTGTAACGATGACAGGGACCAGACGAGGATGATTGATGCAATGCAAGTAGATAAAAATGCAACTTGATGTTAGACTGGATGGGAAAGGGTTGTTATGCACCTTTAAAAGACTGCTTGTAATGCGGCGCATCCCAGGAGCTGAAGGCCACGACCTGCGTCCGCCTCGGGTCCGAGTCGACGGGCATCTCGCACACGACGACGGTGCTTGTCGCCAGATACTCGGCGCATTTCTGCCGACACAGCTCGGCAAACTCGTCGGCGTAGAGATGGCGATCCGGGAAGCGGTACGGGTAGACGGGGTCGAGCGGTGAGGCACCGATCAGGACCCATGTCATGGCGTCCAGATCGGACGCGGTGGCGAGTCGGAGGAACATTGCGGGGGATCGAATTTTTGGTGGGCGAATGGGGCAACGACCAAAAATGCTAACTGCAGGTCATAGTGAGGGAGGGTGGTTGTTTATCGGTTGAGG